ATCCACAAGTACTGTCAACCAATCAGTGGATTCATCTTGCATGAATAAGACTGGCTGACCACAGCCATCCATTGTTACTTTTTTAATACCACTTTTCAAACTGCAAAAAAAAACTGCGTCAAGCGGTTCAATTCAGCATAACATATATGTTTTTGGTTAAAAAAAACGCAGGAAATGTCGCCAATCCAATGGGTAAATCCGCTTGAACGACTCTGTGGAATTATGTGGGTGTGGAACGTCCACAGAAGAACTGAGAAGTTGCCAGATGCAGAAAAAGAAATTCACAATATAAATTAAAAGCTGTTGCCGATATTCCAGGTGTTTATCGGGTTATCTAATCAATATAACACTGTTCTCTCATTTAGTTCATACATGAATCAGAAACCGTGTGAAGAAGGATTCTTTTTTGTCTAGGCCTGTCCCAAAGTCGTATTTCGTCCACTGGAGTGGAAAGGCGTTTTAATATTAACAGCGAGCAGCTGAACAACATAATTTCCTCATCCTCCATTATAATCAAGTACTCAAAGTGTATAATGTCGAAATTAGAAAAAAAGCTTGATTTACTTGACAGCTTGGGCAGCTGGTCGCTGTTGTATTTTAGTGGTAATTGTGGTGAATTTAAGTGTGATAGCATCCTCGATCACAATCATCAACACGTTCAGATCAGCCACTATGACATTTTCCACAAAATGTTTTGGATAATCGGTCGGCGGAGTATTTTCCTGTAAATTAAAATAATCGGTAACGATGACAAAGTTTTTAAAAGAGCTCAATTACAATGGAAACAAGTATAAAACCCCAATTATTTTGAAGAGTTTAAAACTGCTCCAAAAAAAATGCCCTGAGAAAATTGCTCCGAAAGAACGTTCCCCCCTACTTCTCTCGGCGAAAAAAAAAATTTCAAAAATACTTGCAAAACACTAATACGTATTGAATCTTCGTTCATCACTCCACCAGTAAATTTCAAAAAAAAAAAGAATGTAGTAACTAGATGAAATAACGATAGCGATAAACATGATAAAAATCATAACTGCTACCTGATAATCAATTGCTTCGAACAATTTAGCTTTCTCTTCCGGTGTCATGGCTTGCTCAAATTTGCTTACAATATCACCTGGCGTTGATAATTTATCACCTCCTTCGGCTTTCTTCTGTTCACCATCGTCACCACTCCACCTGAAATACCCACAACATCTCAGAAAAAAAAGACAGAAAACACATCTATCGTGACGGCTGGACCCCTAAACCATATTAAAGAGAAACATTTTAGTCGAAAAAATAATACAGAGAAAAAATTCGCCAAATAATGAAATATAAGTTCGCTCAGTGCACCCACTTACTTGATATGTTTGATCAAGGGGAAAGCCAACCACAGGCAGATCCAGGGCGCCTTCCTGAGGGGATGGGGACGAAAACGCTGCTCCCGGAGAGCGGGGGAGGGGGCAACACGGGGTATCGAAGGGTATTTTCTACAGTAAAATAACTGCTACCTGTGCCGCTGAAAGTGGACTCTCGGTTTAAGGTACAAAACATTCCCCCTCCCATCCCCATGGATCTGCCAATGAAGCCGACAGCGGAATGTTTCCTCTTTTTTCCCATAATACTTGCATGTTCCCTCTTTTTTCCCAAAAAAATCGCGTGAAAGAGCGGCTTTATACTCGACTGGAACGTACCAGCTTTTAGCCCAACCAATCCAGCCCTGCGGTTGATCTTCCACTCTTTTCAGGCCGCGTCTGTCTATTTCCATATCAGCTTCCTGTCGT